GGTTTGTGGTCCTGAGTTGAGTAATTATCATACTCTGATGAGCCATGCTCGGTTTATTCACCATATTTCAGACATCTTAATACACAACCTTCTACTATTTTGATGTTTCTTGAGCTAAGGTATGATTATTGATCAACTTTTTTCTGGCTTACATAAGTTTTTATATTCCTATTTAGATGGCACTTAGACTAAATGAAGGAGATGAAGTAGAAATTGAGCCCGATCCTGCAACATGGACAGCCTTAGAGGAGGAACTTTATATTCAGTTAATGGTGAAAGAGGTTCACAAAGGGAATAGATCATCAACCACCTTTTCAAGGAAAGGTTGGAAACAAATTGAACAAGAGTTCTGTGAGAAAACCAACAAGAGGTACAACAATTCTCAGTTTAGAAATAAGTTTAACCAGCTGAGAACCCGTTTTAATGATTTTAGTAAGCTGCTGAAGGAACCTGGGTTTACTTGGGTACCCGTGCTCAGTATTGTAACCGCAACTGATGCTGTTTGGGAATCATACATAAAGGTGAACACTTAAATTTTAAAATTTTGAAATTGAAGCCACTTTTCTTTTAACTTCACTGAATCACAGTTGTGTATTTTTTAATATAGGGAAACAAAAATGTGAAGAGATTTTGGGGAAAAGGGTGCCCAATGTTTAATGAGTTAGGAATCATATTTGGGGACCCAACATCAAGTTACAAAGATGTATCTCCATTAGCTCAATATCCAATGGTCAGTGAATATAAATTGGATGTAGAAGATGAGTCAACAAATGCTACTCTATCCGCTTTCCCAAGTGACAGTAGCAATGGTAGAGATTTTCCACTCCTACGAGCCATCTTAGAGGGAAGGGGAGGCAAGAACAGCAGTGGAGGGTGAGGCATTGAAGGAATGGACTGAAGCTATAATTCCCTCGGGGATGTCTGATAGAAAATGGGCTGAAACTAGTATGGTAATGACCCCAACTTTCCATAAACTTGAGATGTCTTCCCAAGCTAGTCCATTCTCAATTACCAATTGTGTCAAGTGTCTAGAAGCGATTGAAGGAGTGGATTCAAGTACCTACATAAAGGCAATCAAGATGTTTAAGGATTTAGATTGGGGGGAGATGTTTATGGCAATGTCTCCCGAAAGAAGATTGGTTTGGTTGGCTAGCTTAGAGTAGTTTAGCTTTCTATGATTTTAGGTTTCTTAATCTATGGAACATGTTGAGATATTTCAACATTAATATGCATTCAGTACCACATGTACACTTTCACCATTTTGTGTGGCACGTAATTCTTAGTCTGATGGGACAGGTTAAGATGTTGGAGCAATAAAAGGTGTAGGACTAACCTAATCTCAATTTTAAACAGAATGTAAAGTGCTTATTATTTAAAAAATGTCGTTATTGATCCGAAAAAAAACATGATGGCTCAAACACACTTTTTTGGGTCTTCAATCCAAGTTTTAGTAAATTCAAATCGGTTATGCCTGTCAAATTCGTAGTTTCCAAATAGGAATAGTTTAGGAGCTCTTAAAAGTCCATGTATAGTTGGACCCAATCCTACGTGAATCTATGTGTGCTACCCAATTTATACTTCTACTTCTCTACTGCAAAATCATTTCTCCTAACCCAAAATCATATCTTACCAACCTTAAACCTTTCCTTTTAAATCTTTTAACTCTAACCACTACACATCATTGAAATCAACTACTTATTAATATTCACGACCGTACTATCACAGGTCCAAACTCTTGCCTCTCTTTGTAAAATCATAGCCCTAAACTCTTCCCCTTCTCTTGTATCCAAACAAACCCTTAAACTCTATTGTTTTGCCCACTAGTTGCAACAAAATCTTAGCATAATCAGTCTCTAAAAACTTTTTCATCACTGCCCAACATCAATTTTTTTGGCATCAGAATTGTTGAAATCTACCTCCGCCCTGCTCATACTTCATCCATCAAATGGTTAGTAAGTTCATCATGTCAATGTGCAGCTTATGATGTGGTAAGGACGGACTGTTGATCCTAATGTAGGTGTTGCCTTGTTAACATTGATAAACATTAATCTAAATACAGTAATGCATAATTATAGTACTTTTCAACAAACTTTAGTACCTTATAGAAGATAGAACATAAACACCAGAAACTCTTAACAATTTGATGCTGCCAAAAATAAGAGACCAAATAATTGAAGAGCTTCATTTATCAAACTTACCTCAAACCAAAAACCAATTACAGAGGAACATGAAGGATTTGTTTCTTAAACAATTGGAATTTGTTTTTAGATAATAACAGATGCTTGTATGACTAACAGCTAGAGAAGTGCTCAATTGGAATTTGTTTTTAGATAATAACATGAAAGATTTGTTTCTACTCCTAGCTATCCTTCATCTACATCCTTGATAATATTTTCTTTGTTTATTTTCTTTGCAGATTGGTTTTCGATGATGTTTGGAAGCATACTTGCAAATCAAGATCAAGTGTTGAATTTTATTTTATTTTTTGAATTGATACATAGTTCTAGTTGTAAATTAAGATCAAATGTTGATTTTTTTTTTTTTTGTGTGGACACCACGTTTGGTTCACTTTGGGATTTGTAATAATGGTTTTCATGGATATATTTTGATTTATAATATAAATTGTTTAGCGAATTTTTTGTATGGAGTAGTGTATATTAGCTAGTGAATTTCTTAGTACATTTAGAAGACGATTGAGATATGAGCAGGCATATTTGTGAAATAATAATTTAAAATGAAATATAAAATATGGAATAAGTATAGTGACAAATTTTTTCGTCATCTATACTTGTTATTATGACAAAGTGATTATTCGTCACTAATAAATATTTTTTATGACAAAATTTATCGCAGCTTATATATGAAAGTTTTCATTGATTTTGTTGTTTGGTGATTAAAAATTTCGTCACGTGTACATATTTTTGTTACGAAATATATTCCATCACCCATGTCTGACTTTTGGAGACGAAAAATTTCGTCAACTTTACATCTTATTGTGACGAAATTATTTTCTCATCAATGATCAACATGTGTGACAAATTTATTCGTCAACTAAAGTTATAAATATGGTATTGAATAACTATTTGGTGACGAAAATGAGGATTTTTGGTGACAAAATGTTGTCTTATTGGTGACAAAAATTTTCGTCACTAAATTAATTTAATTGGTGACGAAATTATTTTTTGTCACGATGCTTTTTAGTGAAAAACATTCAATGACGAACCCAGTGACGAAAATATTTCCTCACAAATATCTATAGTGACGAAATTAGCTCTTTGAAGACAAAAAAAAAATTCGTCATCCAGGACCCTACTTCTTGTAGTGTAAATTCGACCTCATTTCCATAGCATTTGGCCACTGTTTTGGGCCTAGTAGAGTGCTGTCCATCTTGGTGTAAGTCCATCATTCGCATGTTGTTACATGCTTGCCTTGTATGTTGTTACACACTTGGCCTTTGGCATGTTGTTGCATGCTATACATGTTTGTATGTTTAGATGCTTAGCCTATTAACATGTTGTTGCATGTTTAAGTGGTGTTGCATTTGGCATGCATCTTGTGTTAAGTTGTTTTACATGCTCCTATGCTCAGTCCCCCTCACATGTTGTTGCATGTTGGTCATTAGCATTATTGTTACATGTCTAGCATGCTTGTTTGCTTAGGTTGTATGCCTAGTACACATTGCATATTTCCATGCTCATATTGCATACTTAGCTCGCATGCTTAGGTTGCATTTTGCATGCATACCTTGCCTCTTGAATCACCATGATAGAGGTTAGGTCCATTATTTGTTTATGTGCATTTCATTTGACATTGAAATGGCACACTTGGCCTCTTTGGTCATCACGCATTGAAATGCGCGATTGATGGCCCGAGGGTCGACTACCAAACTCCTTTGAGTCACAAACATGATAAGGAGTGTGGTGGTGCAGACATTTGCTTTAAAATGCATTGCCATGCTTTGTTTGCGCTCTGCTGCTGTCAAAACAAGGATCTGCAGGAAGATATGGTCGACCGACCATTCTCAGTGCCGGCCGACTAAATATCTTTGGCTGAGAGCTATACAACTGGTCGATGACCACTTTACCATGGTCGGTGACCATTCTTTATGGCCGGTGGCATCCCACAATTATCAGGGAGTGATGCCGAAGCATCCTTGGGACTTGTGCAATTTTCAGAGGCACAGAGCAGTGTAAACAGAGGCAGCTTGTGCATAGTGGTGGATTTCCGAGCGGAACCGAGCACGCATGCATTGGACCCTCTTCTCGAGGCTGTTTTACCGCTTTATTAGCTTAGTTAATTTGCTTAACTAGTTAAGTAGTCTGTAATTATTTAATTAGCTTGATAGTTAGTTAAATTTGTATTATTCTTTTGGTTCCTCCGAGAGAGGGCGAATTGTGTAATAAGCGTGTGTGTGTGTGATGCATGTCTTCCAATCCCCACTTCTTTCTCCCTTTTACTTACCTCCTTTTGATGGTTAGTATTACGGCATATTTCAATTAGCATCCTTATGCTATGCATGTGTGCATTCATTCATCAGTATTGCATGCACCGGGCTTGGCGCATCATACTAACTGCATAGTATTTCAAATCTAACATGAATACATGTTATCTGTTTCATTTCACATGCCATCCATAGATTAGCCGAGCCCATTCTAGCTGCATTTTGCCTGCGATGCATTAGCCATCTTAACATGGACTTAGATCACACATTTGATTACTAACATGTTCCTTGTTTTGGCTTGGAGTACTAGGTGAGTGTTTATGCTTTAGCATCTCGCATGAGTGTGAATGTTAACATGAAAGCATGCTTACCATGAGGCTATTTGCTTATGTGATTTACTACCTGAATGCCTGTGGGTGAAGGTTGGATTGTTTGAATTGGAATAATTCATTGAAATCCGTATTTTAGCCTACCTGCGAGTAGCAAACCTTAACCCATTTTCCAAAACAAACGGATGTGCGATGCTTTGTTCTAACTTAGGCAATCTAGTCCATACTTGTATGCTGTACGCATCACATAGTAATTCTAGGTTAAATAACCAGAATAAGAATGCATAATGTTTTCAAAACTAGATATCATGGTTAATAGAGGTCGATCATTGATCGGCTGAGCGGGGGTGCTCATAGCTGACCTTCCCCAATCGTACCCAAGTTCCCGAGCCGAGGCAATTTTGGTGATGACGGACACGTGGCCTTAGGCAAATGAGTAAGGGTTTCCTAAATTCCCCCAAATAAAATATTTAGGTGGCGACTCTATATCTGGCAAAGCAATCCATGTTTGGCACTTCTTTCTAAAAAAATCTGTTTTCCGAAAACGATTTGCCGGATTTAGACTCTTTGGTGATTTATCAGTCTTGCATTGCACTTTGCAAGATCAGATTAAGAACCGTGACAATTTGAGTCCGAACTGTAGTGAGCCCCAATGAATAAAACGGGATTCCCTCCCGGGACGTTCGGGCGCGTCTACAATGTTGGAGGTAGAATTTTCAGAGGAAGAAATTTGGGATGCTGTGAAGGAGTGTGAAGGGAATAAGGCTCCAGAGCCTGATGGATTCAATGTAGCATGTTACTAAGGGTGTTAGAGTGTTATGAAAGATGAGGTTGTGCAGATGAAGAACGAATTTCACTTAAAAGGAAAGCTGGCTAAAGGTGTTAATAGTTCATTCATAACACTTATCCCAAAGAAGGATTGTCCCGTTGGGTTGACTGATTTTAGGCTAATAAGCTTGGTAGGCTTAGTGTATAAGATTCTCGCAAAAGTTCTATCAAGAAGACTAAGGAAGGTACTTCCTATGATTACTAGTAAAGTTCAATCAGGTTTTTTTAGTGGACTATATATATTTGATAGGATCTTAATTACTAATGAGGTGGTGGACTAGTGGAAGAAGACAAAGAGGAAAGGAATTATTCTTCAATTAGATTTCAAAAAGGCATATGATTCAGTAAAATTGGGGTTCCTATGTTCAATGATGTACAATTTTGGTTTTGGTGATAAATGGGTGGGATGGATAAAGACATGCATATCATCAGCTAGAATCTCCGTGTTAGTTAATAGGTCTCCAACTTCAGAGTTCTCTCCTCATAAAGGGTGGAGGCAAGGTGACCCTCTTTCACCTTTCTGTCACGCCCTAAAATTTGGACAATTAAATGTTAAATTAGGACTAAACCCTAATCAATTTTCCATCATCTAAATCCTAGGGGTGAAACAAAATCTAAATGTTCTCGTCTCCATAAGGTTTAATTAAATTTCTATGCTCAAAAGATTACAAGGGATAAAAAAAAAATAAATAAATAACGAACTAACAAAATGCCAACCAAACCATTCACAATAGTTTCATAACTATCCAATACTTCCAACATTAAAGTAGCAACAACTAGTCAAAACAACTTAAATAATGTAAAGTTGAAAAATAACCCGCAATACCAAATTGTCAAAATAGTAAGGTCATAAAAAAAATAATAATAAATACAATAAACTAATATCAACCCTAAGCTCAATAAAACAAAAGAAGTCCAAGAGATATGTCCAACAACTATAGTTATTTCTCGTCACCATCGTAATCCCAACTAATCTTGCACAGGAAGCTCGGCTGTGCTCAAATAGAACGCACCCGAGATGCCAAGAGCAAAAACGGTTTAGTATACAAGTATGCTGGTATTAGTACAAGATTTGATATCCACGTGTCCACCAGACACAAACAAAAGTACATTTAATTCTTGTTATGAGACAAGACAATTAGTCCTACCCACATCGAGACGAAGAGGTAGTTTCTCGAGATACGGTGGCATTTAATCTCTTACCCGTACGCAACTAAATATAAATTGAGTATAAAATAAACATAAAATTATGGTGGGTCAGCCCTGCATAAAAAGTTAGTAAGACCCATCATTCTACAAAAAATAAAGTTAGTATAATTTAATCATAAGTAAATTGCTGAAGAAGTATAAAAACGCACTGTTTTATACTTAAATAATTCCAATTGACCAAAACTCAAAGAACAAAAGTTGTACAAAATAAAATTTTCCAAAAGGCAACGTGAACTAATTTAGTATAAACTGAATAGTTTGAGAGAAAAACTTAATAGAAGAACCCAGACGATATTCGATTGAAAAATCTGAAACTGAAAACGAAAAGAAACTGCCCTAAAAGATGATTTTTTTTGGAAACGTTCAAAACACAAAAAGTGTTTAGAATAATATTTTACTTCAGTTTACATGAAATCAATAAAAATGAGCTCGTTTCGAGGGTTAAAACAGTATCTAAAATCTGCATTGCTAAAATGAATAAAAACTATTATAACTTAGATCATCCGATTGCAAGTTCTAATAGATCTTGTTAGTACAAAGTTAAAATACAAAAGTTGTCTAGAATTACATATACATGCCTCTGCCCAAATTTCATGATTTATCAAGGTCGTTTACTATCATTCAAGATGTACAAATTGAAACAATGCAAACAATACCAACAAGTTCATATTTAATTCTTTGTACCTTAACTCCACCACTTCGACCCTTCACTTCTGGCCTACACATATATC